AAAAAAAAAAAAAAAAAAAAAAAACAGTGTTTGTTTTGCTAACCGTTGTGATACTTATTAAAAATAGCTTCTCTTAGTGTTTATTTTGCCAAAAATGCATTTGATTTAGCCAACAGTCTATCAAAACTTTTTGACATTTTTTGCACCCTATAACTTCACTTTGTTAAGGTGGCACATTGTAAACGGAATAAGGCAAAGTTTGAAGAGAATCTTCTAGCTTTTGTCAGGCGTTTCACCCGTGATTTTTTCCAAATAATTCAGAAAACAAGAGAAATTTTTTTCTTGTGCTAATTTACCGGAAAACTTTTATTTTTTTAAATAGGTCAAATTACACAAAATTCCCAATTATAATAGTTGACAGTACAAACAGAACTTGCTTCAAACAAATCTTTACTTGTATACAACGACACCGAACCAGTTTAAATTGGTAATCTTGCAGCATATATTTCACACTCTTCCGCTACTTTTTGTTCCTTTATTTTGCCGTTACTTGAATCTTTCGAACCCTTTAAATACACTTCTTATCACTAAAACGCTTCCCCCCACCCCCAAATTAAAAAAGAGATTTCTGCAGGCTTTGAAACTGCATCTCTTCAAGCCTTTTGAGGTTATGTCACATTCTTTTTCGGCCTCAATTTATCAGAAGATTAAAAACTTTTTTTGGTAATCAACATCTGCATACTTTTCAGTAATCGACAACCCGTAGGATCTGCTGTTTCATTTTAACTCTAACTTTAAATACATTCTTCTAAAAGCAGCTGAAAAATTGGTTTTGCGATTAGAATCAGCTTATTCATTGATTGCAATAAATTGCACCCATTTTACTGTTTGCGATCATGATGAAAAAGTCGCAGTTTTTAGATTTCTTCTTATGCTTCACTGCGCTTTTTTTTTTTCCACTTTTAGTAAATTTTTTGGAAACTAACTTTATTTTGACTTTTCTATTATTTTCTTTAGCAAAAATTTTAGAGAGTTCTTTATCTGCTTACACAAAAAAACTTTTTTTATATTACTTTTCAAAACTAAAGCAAATATTTGTCAATATTTGGTTGCCTAAAAATAAAAAATTGACTGAAAGTCACAAACTACAGTTTGTCGAAAATGTCAGTAAAAAGTCAAAAAGTTAATGCATATAAAATTTAGAAAGTCATCAGAAAGTTGCAGATTTCCTGAGCTGTGTCCTGTTTACGGTTCACGCTGAAAACAGTTAACAACAAATAACAAAAAAATATATATACATTAAAAACTGTTAATTTTTCACATATTTATTACTCAAATTCAATATTTTTTTTTTTGTTTTATAGAACAACTCTTAAAGTGTTAAACAGAAAAAAGTCTATAAAAGTCGAAAAAAGTAAAAAAAATTTGTTTTTTTTTTTACTAAATATGTTAAAGGCCAGAAATTATCTAATAAAAACAGCACCAGAAACGCTCATACTCTATTCTTATGACTAGATAACGTTTAGATATACAGAAACAACCACATTTCACTTTTGTGCTTAAAAAACATAATATCTAATTCCATAATTTCATTTTACATTATTCATTTATGAACAAATTTCTTATTTAAAAAAAATTTTCACTTTTTACTGTTGAAATCATACATCAGCAAAAATGATAATTAAAATTTGAACGATGTTATTAGAATAGAACTGGTATTTTTAAACCAAACCTAAAAAATACGTTCATGCTTTTGTAACCAATTGTTTATAGCATTAACAAACACCAAACTCCGTTTTTCTTTTTGCTTAAACCTTCACAGGTACTTCTGTAAACAAAGAAGCAAGTGATCAGAATTATTAAGCTTCAGTCCTAACTTCATCTATCATTGACTTGCAACAAGCAATTGAAACTCACAGTAGAAAATGTAGAGAAAGAGAGAAGGTAAATAAATTACGCACGGTAATTCATCTTCATTATTTAGGCATATAACCAGTATAATTTGAGAAACGGATTTCTTACCTGATGTTTTAAAACAGTCTTGAAAGTCGCTCCAATATTCTAGTTTCTCGCTAGACAAGTGTTTCAAAAGTCAGCTTTTACATAATTATTTCCCTCCCAGGTTTTGTTCCTTTCTCTAGTTACTTTATTCTATCATCGCTCAAAATTTGGTAGCCAAAGCTTTCTTTTGAAAAACAAAAGTATGCATGATTTCTGGTTGAAGTAGTCCGTAAACTAAAAAAAAAAAAAAAAGAGTAAAAAAAAGAGTAAAGAGCAAGAACATCAGTTTTCAGGACTGTTTATGAAAGCACGATTGAAAAATTTTTTAAACATATTTTTTATTTCAAAAGTCTTTGGCAACAATTAATGTTCAGAATTATACAACACTTGTGGCATATTCAATTGACGGCAACGATGGATCAACATTCCGATGATTTTCCGCAGATTCGTTGCTGGAAGTTAAACTGTAGTTGGCCGAGTCTTCTCGCCCTGATCCACTCCCAACCTTGTTGCGATGATTTGACGGCACCACACGCAACTGCCACTGTCTGCTGGAAACCATTCGACTGTCCCGATCAGTAAGTGTTCCGTACAGATCACCGGAAGCCGATTCCTCACCGATATTTCCACATGTAGAAGAGTTGTTTCTGTGAGTGTGCCTTGTGGTGCCGCTATTCGAGTACAGGCTTTGGTTGGCAGTGCTCAAACCCGGAGATCCTGGAACAGAAATCTGTTGAGCGGTGTAATTGCTGACGCTCCCTTGACTGGTTAATGTCGATGACGGTGTGTAACTTTGTTCTTGTTGACTGCTCATTGTTGAAATTGACGATGTCTGTAAATGCATGAATGCAGATTGTGGTCAAGGTAGGAGTACAAACAAAAAACATTAGGTCAAAAAAATTTAAAAATCTTATCAAGCAACTACTATATTAGACATGGGTTGTAAATTCTTCTTCAGTCAATTTGGTTCATTTCTGCTCAGAAGTCTTTAATCTTTTTTTTTTTCAAGTATGGCATCATCACCTTTGTGTATGTTGAATTTTCATTCCATTGTAAATTCAAAGGCTGAATATTTGTAGAGTTTTTTTGTTGAGACCATGTGCTTGTAGAAGTCCCGATTTGCTGCGCTTGTGCTTGTTGATGCTGTTGCTGTTGTTGCTGTTGTTGTTGCTGTTGCTGCTGCTGATGATGATGATGCTGTTGTTGTTGCTGCTGCTGTGTGTTTTGGGATGACGGCCCTGGTTTAGTCGCATCGGTCGAATTGCCGCAGCTGTTGAACGATGACAGCTTCAAATTAGAACTTCGTTTGGTTGTATGCTGCTCTCTGAAGCAGTAAAGGCAACATTGGAAAACAAAAGTTACGTATTACTTTAGAACAAAAAAAATTTTTTTTTGTCGGAATGCAGCAGACAACAGTTTCGACCATTAAAGCAAACTCAACGCCGGGAAAAAAGATAATTGTTGTAAATACCACCATAAATCACTGTATTATTTCATTTAATTACCCGCTTTTAATAGCAAACGATATGCAACACCTTTTTTCTACTGTCAGCTGCATATATGAAAATTTTCTGACAACACACGATTAAAATGAATTTGGGCGAATGGCCCTAAATTCAGCAACAATCCTTTTCAAGTTTTTGGTACATAGACAGCCAGTTTCAACCAGCAAATCTGCTTTTCTTACACAGCTTGAATACGAAACCGCGAACACTGGACAAGTAAACAAGTAATAAGGTAAATTCATTGACCAATTGTCAAAAAAGGCCGCATTTGTAATGAGTTGTCTAGCACTAAGTAGTTTGTGGCTCCAAAACTTAGTAACACAGAGTATTTTTTCATAACCATGATTTTCAGCCTCAAATAAAATTTCTGCTCACGAATGTTCGTTTTTCTTTCACCATAAACATTTTTTGCAGAATAATCATAAAGTCAAGGTCATCAGAAGAAATCGGTTCATTAGTTGTTGAATAGAGAAGTATTTTGATTTGGAATTTAGCCACCCATATTAACGATTTATAGTCAAGCACCGGGGCGTTGCTCACCTGTGTAACGAAAGTTTGAATTGATTACTACATGTGATACTAGTATAGCTGTTAGTGTACAATGTAAAGACATAAGTGCGGAAATTATAGATGCTTCATTATTCACCAATCTACTCCAGAATTTCCATAAAAGGGTCATCAATTTGCACGTTAGCTTCAGCGACAGATAGTTTCGGTGCTTCCGTGTACTAATTGATCAACAGAATTTCAACACAGTTCTTACAAAAAAGGTAAAGCAATTATCTGACGTCTTTAACTTTAAATTTTATAACAGAATGAGCAGCGGAAATAAAGAGTATTATTTAAGAAATGTTGGATAAGATTAGTGTTCATCACCTGCAGGCCCTCGGCGTACAGGTATCGCTGTAGAAATCCTTTGCCGCCAAGCTGGTTCCGGCTGGTAAAGTTGCTGCAAAAGCGCTGTCTGAACGATACCTTTGGCTAGCCTACAAGTCGACAAAAACACTTGACCACTCAATGAAAAATATATGTTTCAAATTAAAATTTTGATAAATTGATAATACTGTGTGATATGATAAAGATAATGTTCTACACTACAAAAGTCCTCAATTTGTACAGCACTTCTTTCAACGTTTTCTTTAACACGTAGTTGTACAGTTTAGTTGTATAGATTCTACTAAATCAAAAGAACATTTGAACTCACCCACCAAATCTTCAAAATTTTTTGCATCAGAAAAGTTTACTTGTTGTGGAATTTTTGCGTAGGTCCCATAACCACTTGGAAAGTTTGTGTAAGTTGAATTTTCATTTTCAGCTTCTCTATTTGTCAACTTCAGATCATCATTAAAAGTTGGCACTGCTTCACGCTGTGTTGGTTTATGCACTGTTGCATAGGCTTCTGCCTTAAAATGTTTTTTTAACCCTGCCAACTAAGCATATCTTTAAAAAAATCAGTAGGCATTCATATATTAATAAACACAGCATTTACCACACTTGGTGCCAGACCATATTCGCTTGATTTCGGCACAAGTTGTTTTTGATTTTGTGACTGCTGGTGAGCAACTAAGAACGAAACCTCAGTTCTTGGAATACGCTAAATAATGTCAGCGATGTTACTCGATAGACAGAGATCTTTTTCTCAGATTGTGACTTGCTTTCATAAGGTAAATTTCAGCAAATGTCAATCTAACAGTTGTCTTCAGTTGTCATAAAAACCTTTACCCAAAAAGCAACGACAACAACAATGATAACAAATTTGTTTAAATAAAATTTCCATAAATATTTGAAAACCAATAATTACTTGAAGGGTGCCAAATGTTCCAATTGTGGTCAACTCTTCCGGCGGTATATAATTTAAACTTCTCTTTGAGCTACCATCGTTTTTTTGTGGCAAAATCTCTTGAGACTTTTGGAATTTATCAGTTCGTGAAATCTCAAATGGAAAAAGCTAATTATCTGTATATGTTTATCATCAAATAAATGATATACTACTTTTACTCCACCCAACAAAATCATTATCAACCTGTAGAATATAGTGCATCCAATTTTATTTTCTTCTTCTCACCCGTAACATAGTGCAGACTAGAAAAAAAAAGTTATTAATGTTCAATAAGTAGCTAAATGAATAATTTCCTTTAATCGCTGTCTGACGGTATCAAAGTTTGATATATGTAGACTAAATAACTCTAATTTACTCAGTTAGTGTAAAGGAATTACTGTGTGATGAGCAGCTGATAAGGTCGAATTGTCATCGTTACTGGCCCGTCGAACTGAAGTGCCACCGAGTAAGCGCTTCAACTCCGGAGTTCCTTTAGCACTCTCGCTGACAAAATTTTTTCTAAAAAGGCTCCAATTTAATGACGTCGGTTAACCCCCACTTACCGTCATTAGACTGGCAACCGGTTAAATTCAGTTAATTTCAGCAACCGGTTAAAAATTTTATACATGAGCACACATCAATTAAAAAAAACATACCGTACAGGTGAGTGGGCGTTAGCACTTAACCAGTAAACCTCCTCGTTAGCACAGTCCGGTGCAATTTTTTGTATATGCCGAAGAATTGCTTGCTTAGCAATGTGATCATCGGTGACATAAAACTAAAACAGCTTCAACTAACGCGATGGAAATTTTGGCAGTTTGGTCAAAATTTCATGCATGCTATGCTGTTGCTGTTTTATTCTCTAACTTGAATCTGAACTGTGGAACTTTTGCCGCAAACCACAAAGAACACAAAACCACACATGAAAATACCCGTGATGCTTGCAACTTCTATAGTTTTTTCTTGAAAAGAAGTAAAGTTGTTCAAAAGCGAAACGTTGGCGAAGTTTCAAAACGCACTCACAAAAATACAGAAAATGGCAAACCGTTACTAGTCAACCGCCAAATGAAACTAAAACCCCAGGGAAATTTTCTGTAAATTCTAATAAATTACCTGATCTCCATACATAACGATAAGAGCATTTTTTGAAAACGTTGCACTTCCGTCGGCAGCTAATGCTGAAGTAGGCGTAAACATTTTGTGAGCATTCTAAAATCATTATCATACACACTGGAAAAACCACCGTATTATGTGTTGTTATCAAGGATGTTTAGAGATCTAGCAGGTGGGAAAAAAAGAAGAAAAAAATAATCAAATCTAATGAAAAAGACCTGTAGCGATATGATTTCACCAATATCGTGAAGTACTTTGTATTTCCATTCTCTCTTCAACGTTAAAATTAACCAAAATATTATCCAGGAAAACAAATAGGTAATATCTATTACAATACATGTAGCTAGAAGAGCTTTACTGTCGTGCTGAAAAAGAATCTTGCTACTCTAAAATCCAAAAGCACTCCGCTTAGCAGCTACTTGCATTTTCATAATTACCACTGTTATCGACTGGCACTAATGGGTATTATAAATATTACTAAACAACCTCACCTGATAGAGTACCATTAAGGCATAAATTGTTGGTGCTTTAACGGCAACAATAAATATGAGAAGTAAAATTGCGATTATGTGCGGAGCATATCTAAAAATATGGGCTTTTAGTCAAAAAAATTGGTCATTTCCCAAGTTTATAGTGTTTTGTACTCATTCAAGGTTCAAAACGTAGAGCGACGAACGAAATAAGCTAAGAGCCAGCTAAAGTAAACGGTCAAAAATCAGTATCCACCTACCCCTCACAGCATAATCGAAGAGAGCGCGTTTCATGACTGCTTTTTGACCGGCAGTCCATAAAGTCGCTGGAATGACCGTTGATGTCGCTCTGACAACGAGATGAATTACGATACTGTACATTGAATAGGTTTACCTGTAATCTTCACTGCAGTTAATTATCATTTACCCTCATTTCACAACTTATACAAGTCGCTATTAAAAAAGCAATCCTCCATTTTCTCTCATCTTCTAATCACGTTCCCAAAACGAAAAAGTGAGTTATGTAGAAAACGACTGAAGCCGAGAGTTGCAAAAAAATGACAAAAAAATCTTTAAAAAAAATTTTGCTACAGTTCTGCTGCAGGAAAACAAAAAAAAATACATAAGAAATTAGGAACTGCTAACCATAAATTTGTTATACCCGTACGTATACATAGCAATTGGGGCAGTACTCATCAGAACCACCGTGCTTACAAACATTGCAATTATTGCTTCTGGACGAAAAATGAATAAATGCTTTGAAAATGATAAGTATTGGCCTGAAAAAAGAAAACTTTTCTTTTGGTTAGTAATGCTGTAATTGTCATACAAAAACATCTATACTGTCCTCCAAATTACTAATCTATTGCTTACAAGAACGTTTTCTGTCAAACGAATAGCATAAGAAAATTTGAGGAACAAGAGTAAGTTGCTGATTTAAGAGTTAAAATTGATTCAGCAATAACTTGAATAGGTAGCATGTAGTCAAGACGGTTCCTACTGATGTTTCCCACCAAAAAAAAAGTTTTTTTTTTTAGCCTTTTCAATTCTCGATTGTCTGGCCCTTTCCTTCTGCTTTGCTCCCATTTCTTTTCAGCGTAATTTCTGTTCTTTAGCCTCACTGTTCTTTTATCATACTGCTGCAGTCATATACTAATACAGTGGTCTAATAATAAAACCGGCAAATAAACCTACCAAACCTATCAGGCTGCGCATTTGCATAATTGATCTCCTGAATTCGATACAGGACACTGAACCCAAGATAAGTCCAAATCAATGTAACACTGTGAATGATTAGATGAAGTGAAAATAAAAAGCTAAAAGACTTGCTAACACGCCAGAACACGGAAGAATAACAGCAACAATAGGCAAATAGTGCAACTATGAGATTCACGAATTCCAACGGAATGCCAAACAAACAGAAATTCATTAGAACTGAAATACATATATAATATTTCTTCTCCAGTAAGGTATGTGATGAACGTAAGCTTTGTATTACTTTTCTTTGTTATTTTTGAATTTACTCTCAAGATAGCTTAAAAGTTAGAATGTCACCAATAGCAATTTTTGTCGTACCAATCCCTTATTTTTAAATTAACTGCCATTCAACAACTTGACTGTGACATTAAAATTTACCTGGAAGAACTTTTGCTGCCACAGGAGCGTAAACAAGGTCACGAAATCTCCCACTGAAACCACGTAAACCTGTATCATCCTTTGGCAGATTTAAACGAAGTTGAGATTCGCGTTGATATAAAAAATCTAATTCCGTATTCAGTGAACTTTCTGTAAACAGACAACCTGTATGCAATCCCATTTTACAGTGCCGATTTGTTCACCTTAATCTTTTACTGAACAGATGATAAAAAGCATCATTTTTAGCAAAAGATACCGTAGAGAATGACAATAAAAATACTAGTAAATTTCCCCCCCCCCCTTACCTGAACTGACCGGCGAGTTGCGATACAGTTGGGCAATCATGATTTGCTGGGCAACTAAATGGCATAAAGCAATAAAAACATGTATTTGTTGAGGTAGGGGTGGACTGTGTTCCCATAATAAACGCACTCCTCGTGATATTGAACATTCTCCTACAATAAATTTATTGTTTTACTTCATTCCATTAAAACTTAAGCTAATTTGAAACAACAGTAAAACCTATGTAAGCTTCTTAAGAAATCAATAAAGTTTTCATCGAATTTTATTTTCGTATCGTCAACAGTTCAAGAGGAAGTGACAGTTCTAAAAAACTTACCAAAGCAAGTAAACTCTTTAAAAGCTTTCCTTTCCTCAGAACTATAAAAAATTCTCAAAACTAGTCCTTGATTAAGATTTTTTATTTCCAACAGCTTACATCAGTACACAACGATTCTCAGACTACCTTTTTTTAGCATCAACAAAACACAGCTAAAGTAAAAGAATCGTTTTACACAGTTTAGCATTAGACATCTACTAGACCACCGCTCAATCATTACTTTTTCTACTTAAACTAGTAAACTCTCAGAAAAAATTAACAACATATCAATCCAAAAAAAATTGAAAAGTCATTTCTTTATTCGTCACTTCTGATTGTCAATCACATTGCTAAATATTAACTAGAATAAAATCCTTACTTCAACTAAACATATATACTTTTTTCAAAACCAAAAGATACTTTTAAGAGAGCAGCACACTTGCTTCATTTCGAATTTAGCATGGCAACCAAATATATTTACAGCTTTGTCACGCGTTTACAAACTGCCATTAATTTTG